GCACCTGCCTCTTTTTCTGAATCAACGCAAAGTCTCAGTACTGAAAACCTTCCCTTGAAGAGCAAGTGCTCGATCTGAAAGCGGAATTTTTGAAAAATTCTAAGTATGGAAAGACACTAATATTACTTGGAATCGTTTTGCTGGGTCCTCGTTGAGCAATTGGCCTGGCATATGTGGTTCCGTTCTAGAAACCTCCTCTTCACTCTCTTCAGAAATACCCTCAAGTTGATGAGTTGAGGTCTTTTGGGGCAGGGCGACGACGTTGAAGCGGAAATCTTGTCTCAGAGCATCTAGTTGTATTTTTGTTGCTCCTAAAGTCAAAAAAAGTTCATAAAATTCACAGCAAAAGTGCACATTCTAAAAGTTTACCTCTGCCATTGGCTTGGATTATCCTACTAATTAGGCTAGGTACTCCTAGACCGAAACCATTTCTGGCAGTAACACGGAATTGATAAAATCCTAACGGTTCCAAATGCTTTACAACAGCAGCTTCATCATCTACGGAATCGCTGATAAGCACCCATGGTGAGAAGACGTCATCGATTCCTGTGAGAAAAAATTTAGCAAAATGTTTTTCTCCCAGTAATCGTATGGTACATACCAGCAAGTCGATATTCTAGGCGGTAAGTGATACCCTCCAGGTAGGTTGGGCCTTCAGGGGCTTCCCAAGTGACAAATGCTTCAGTATCAGATGTGATTTCACAATCTGGACGGCCTGGTCGTGACGGAGCTTCTACAAAAAAGTCATTTAGACTTTCTAAATTTGTTATAGGTATATGTTACGATATTAGGCCTTAGTTAACTCACTGCTCAAACGGCAGCAGATACGATTCATTCGGGTTCAAAAAATTCAACTCCAAACTCTCGCCCAGCACCGTAATCAACGGCGACAATCGAAAAAACTACGGTACTGGACGAGAGTTTAAACCTGAATTTTTGAAAAGCAGGTAGATTATAAGAGCTCTAGCATGGGCGTAACTTGTAATAAGTCTTACAGTCAGTTTTTTATACCTCTTAACATAATTAAAATTTTAGAAAAATGAAAACTACGCCTACCTCCTGTGATAAGTCTGCATGTTGTCTTATCGCTACCGTATTCATTTGTTGCTGTACAAGTATATTCTCCGAGATCATAAACAGCTGGTTGGTTGATTGTAAGGCGGCATACGGTTTGATCCTAAAGAGGGAGTTCGCAATCAACAAAGATTTGTAATCAATAAAATCAATAAAAAGGTCAAGTCTAAATTTTTTCTTTATTTTCAATCCTGGCACAGCAAGTATTCAAAAATCATAAAAATCCCTTGGCATACCTTTTCAATACGGTATCTTGCATCATTTTCCAAATTACTGCCTTGGAACTGCCATTCAACTCTTGGTAATGGGCTTCCGGTGACTGCACATTCAAATATGACGAAGGATTCGTTTTTTAGGTAGACATCACGAAGGCGAGATACAAAAATGGGAGCGTAGGCTGGAAACATTTCTTTGGAGGAGGACAAAAATATGATTTTTGGAATTTTCAAGCAACTTACTCCCATCCGCATTTCTTCTCGTTGCACTTGGTGCCACCTTCTCAATATCAGCCTTGATCCTCTCGATAGCTGTCAGTGACGGAGCCTTTTGCAGTGAATTCACATGCTCATTTGGTTTTGGCTGCACACCTGTTTGCAGCTCGCGAAGTATATCCGTATATCTGTAAGATTTAGTCCATTGAATTGCTCGTGAGATGCTGGCGCTTTGCCAAATGCCTTACCTTCGACGTTCTCTAACGGTTATGTCTTGATTTCTGTATCCTAGGAAACCTTGCCTAACCAGTGGTGCTCCATCACCAAACAATTCACGACGATAGTCTCGTACGCGGCTGTTAAATGCAGGACCGCGCGTTGCCATCAAATAGGTGTCGGGACCAATCTGGGAAATTATTTTTCCAAAAAAAA